AGGGGTAGAAGAGGTTTGTACTTAACCAATATGCAAGCGGGAATAGTTGTATGAGATGTAAAAAGGAGATACTCACGAACCTGTGAGACAAGTTAATATTGTCACTGACAATTCCAGGCAAAGTTCCATCTCATTGGATATTACTCACAGAGCAATACCACTACACATAACGCTGGCACTGGGGGAGGCAGCGAGATAAATGACAGATCACAGGTAGAATAGTGTCTCAGAGGTAGATCGGTCACCAAAATCAGAATAAGGTGTGATATAAAGTTAACAGTGAGGAGCTGAAAGAAAGAGATAGAGGAAGGAGGGGGAGGGGGAGGGGAGGAATTATGAGCGACAGAGGGGAAGAAATGCTGAGAGAAAAAGAGTACAGGATGGGGGTGATGAGACTATAAAGAAAATAACCTAATGTGAATAAAGAAAATCAGGGCAACAAAAAAAATGGAAAGAGAATGAATGACAAGCGAATAGAAGCAGGCTGAACAGATTAAATAAAAAGCTACTAATATGCTCAACGCAAATGAGGTGTCTGTTATTATCATACATAGTGAAGTCTGCATTCTCATTTACAAATAAAAATCCAATGAATATTGTTATTTCTGTTTCCCACTCTGTAAACAGAACTGTCGAGACCTCTTCAGATAGTTCTTTGTCCAGGTCAACCAGTTCAAAATACAAACTTCAAAAATATTGTGAATTTGACCAGTAATAAAGTACTGGTAGATGTATATATTCTTTTGGTTTAGTTTTTTTCTTCATCGGTAGGACCTATTTAAGAAAGTGTACTTGTAATGTAGATATTTTACCGACTCTGTGATACAATAATTTAGATCATTAAGGAGGCGGGCTGCTTCGACCCTGATTGTCGGAATAAGCCTAGCGAGCTGAGATGGATGCAGTGCCACACAAGATAGACAGTTACTCGATAAAACAGATTGAGAGAGGGAGATCCCCTTATGCTATGCAGGTCAAGTAAGTTCCAAATTAATGTTGAGGTCAAATTGACCTTCATTTCAAAATTTGTAACGAGTTTAAGTTGTCATTTTTACAGGATTCTGTATAGTATCATTACCCTGTCTTTCATGTATTATCGGTGTTCTATAGTTGTTTTCTATTCCAATTTCCACCCCCACCCCCCCCCCCCCAAATAAAAAACAAACAATAAAATAGTCTGAACACCTGTGACGTCACACCAATTCGTGGATGATGTCACAACCCCCCCCCCCCCAACTTTCCCCTCTCACCCCGCCTCCTTCACTCCAGGTCGACCCAGCGAAGCCAGCCAGTACGATCTTGTTGAAGCTGGAGATCTCTCCCGTTACTTCTCAGTACAGTTCTACACAGACAACGCCGTCAATCCCTGTATGGAGAGTACTTATGCGTGAGTGTTCACATTTTATTTTTCGATACAGTTGCACACGTCCGTTAAAAAGAAATGTTATATTTGTTACTCTCGGGCGAATTGTCAAAGCATCCACGCTACAACTGGCGATCACAAAGGTAAGGCTTTCTCAGTCCACGAGCTACACGTTTTTAGGCTCTTTTTTAGACTCTTTTTTTCCTACCCTGATCGGAGGTAATGAGCTCAGTTCCCTTAAAGGCACGCAATAAAAATAATAGTAATAATAACGATAATGATAATGATAATAA